GGGTGGGTGGTGCTGACGACAATATTCTTAGCCTGGGTCAGGGGTGGCGGTGGCTTGGGGACAAGTCCTTGCCCCAGTGATCTAGTCCCGCAGCCCTCCCTTCCACAGGTGCTCAGCCATGCTTGCTGGTGCTGGCAGCAGCTGGTGAAGGGACAAGAGCTCCTGGGGTACAAATTGCTCCGGAATCCTCTCATGCTCAGAACCAAAGAGCAAGGACTCCTTCTCCTGTTCCCTTCCCGGCCATGGCGGCTGTGCACCAGTCTATTCTTCCTTCTGTCACAACACAGCCCCTGATTTTCAATGAGCATATGGGCACCCAGAATAATGCCATTTGCCAGAGTCCTTGGCAGTCAAGAGTAGTCGAATAACTAAGTTCTGGCCTAGGGGTCCTGAGGGGCAGTAACCTGTGCAAACCCTGTAGGGAGGGAGCCTTTCTTTTCTCTTCTTTGTCTATCTCATGCCCTGGAGTGTGAATGTGGCAGAGAGCCATCCTGGACAACATGGACCAGAGTGACACCCTAGGGACATTGGAGTTGTCATCCCAGTCAAGGCTTTCATCACTAAGCACCCATCTTGTGTAACCAACTGCTACTTTTTTTTTTTTGAGTCGGAGTCTCACTCTGTTGCCCAGGTTGGAGTGTCGTGGCATGATCTTGGCTATTGCAGCTTCGATCTGCTGGACTCAGGTGATCGTTCTGTTTCACCCTTCCAAGTAGCTGGGACTACAGGCACGTGACACCACGCCTGGCTAATTTTTTTAATTTGTTGTAGAGACAAGGTCTCACCATGTTGCCCAGGCTGCTCTCAAACTCCTAGGCTCAGGCAATCCTTTTGCCTCAGCCTCCCAAAGTACTGGAATTACAGACATAAGCCACCGTGGCTGGCCTGTTCTTGTTTTATTTTTTTTGTTTTGACTTGGTGTCTCTGTTGCAGGCTGAAGTGCAGTAACATGATCACAGCTCACCACAGCCATGACCTCCTGGGCTGCAGGCAATCCTTCCACCTCAGCCTCCTGCGTGGCTGGGATTTCAGGTGCAGGCCACCACGCCCGGCTAATTTTTTTTATTTTTTGTAGAGACGAGGTCTCGCTATGTTGCCCAGGCTGATCTTAAACTCAAGTAATCCTCCCTCTTTGGCCTCCCAAAGTGCTGGGATTATAGGCGTGAGCCACCGTGCCCACCTCCATTGCTACTGTGAATCTGTTATGTGCACCCAAACCCACTTCCTAATACGACACTGCCCAACCCTCACTTGGAGCCACATTCAAAGCATTTGGATGCTGCTCTTAGAGTTCTCCTCCGTGGAATGAATATCTAGAATAACGCCTTAATGTGCAAATTACTGAAGGGCATGTATTTATACTGACATTCCCAAGTCTAATTCCAGGCTTCAAGAGGGTCTTTAAACTCGAGTTCCCAGAACATGCTAGCATCCCTAGTATGAAGCAATATACTACCTGAGAAATGCAGGAAAGCACATGTCATGGGAGTGTCATCAAGGCAAATCATGAAAACACTAAGCCTTGGGGGCTCCAGCGCAGGGAACCCACAGCTCTGGAATTTGATCACTGTGCTGTGTGCATTTTTTAAAGCTTGGCAAAGCCCCCTTCATGGGTGCAGCTTCCCTTGGTGGGTAGGAACCCGTGGGGGCTGGGGCCCGTGCCTCCCCTCAGAAGTCGGAAATCGTTCTGGCTCCGTGTCTTTGGAGAAGAAAGGAATCTCTGCCAAGGAGAGGCCTTGCTTCTTAGTCCTCGGGTTCTTCGTCATTCCTTTTCTGACTTGAGATCCAACAAGCTGACTGGAGCAAGCACAGCCCCCATCTGCCCCCAGCCTCCTAAGGGACCCTGAGATGTAACTGGGGCAGGATCTATGTTATTAAAACGCTCCCAAGTCTAGCCTGGGAATCCTGGTCCAATTTCTTTTTCTTCCAGAGATTCAGGGCCTACGGTGGGAGAATGGGGGTGTTCCGCATACTAATGCTTCCATATGTGACCAACATGCAGCGGAAAACCCTAGACTCTCAGCTAACAAGCACGTTCTGACTCTGACTTGCCGAGTCCACATGTCCCAGGAACAGAACATCCACTTTCGGCTTCTCCTTGGGGATGGCAGTGCCAACATCATGGTGGGGCAGGAGCAGGCAGGAGGGTAATCAGAAGCAAGGCGAGAGGTGCTCCTGGGCCCAGGGCTTCCCACTGGCAGCTCCAGGCCACAGTGACACCCTTTGGCCTGTCCTCTACTCCTAGTCTTTGCTACTGCTGCCATTTTATTTTATTCAGGCACCTTCTATCTATGGCCTTGGTTCTCCTGCTTTTCACTCTCCTGTTCTCATACCACTGTCAGGTTAAATGTTCAAACACTTTTTTTTTTTTGAGTTGGAGTCTCACTCCGTCGTCTAGGTTGGAGTGCGGTGGCACACTCACGGCCATCCCAGTGTCAACCTGCTGGGCTCAGGCAACCCTTCCACTTCAGCCTTCCAAGTAGCCAGATCCACAGGCATGCACTACCACGCCCGGCTAATTTTTTGATTTTTATTGTAGAGATGAGGTCTTGCCAAGTTGCCCAGGCTGGTTTTGAACCGCAGGCTCAGGCAACCCGTCACCTTGGTCTCCCAAAGTGCTGGGATTACAGGCTTGAGCCACCGCACCTGGCCTTTTTTTTTTTTTTTTTTTTTAAGAGATGGTGTCTTGTTATGTTGCACAGGCTGGTCTCAAACTCCTGGGCTCAAGCAATCCTCCCGCCTTGACCTCCCAAAGTACCAAGATTACAGGTGTGAGCCACTGTGCCTGGCCTTCAAACACTCTTTCTAGCAAGTCACTCCTGGGCATTTCTCAGCCAAGCACTAGGACCCTTGCTGTCTGTGGAGCCACACCGCTTCTACCTTCACTGTGACTGTGACAGACGACAGAGAAGCCAAGCACCGTGTGCTGACTGCCTGCTACAGCCACCCTCACTACTTTACACATTCACTCACTCAGATCAGGGCAGGACAGCCGTGAGCTGGCATCAGAACCTAGGTCCCTGTGACGCTGAGGCCAGGCTTCCTCAATCTGCCTCCTCAACACTCCCTAACCTGCAGCCTCCCAGGGGCGATGGTGCCAAAGAGCAATCAGGAGGGACTGTCACCTGAAGGGCAACCTCAATGTTTCCGGCTTTCCCTGGGGCCTCCACGCCTCTCCTCTTCACTAGTTACTCCAGGATTTAAAGCCCTCCGAGGACTAAAGCCTGTTTTTGAGACTAGGAAGACTCCTGCTGCATGACCTCTCATAACCCTAGATCCTCTCACATTTGCACTTGCTGCCAGAGAAGCTCCCCAGGTAAATAGGTGGACACCATCCCTACCTGGCAAAGAAGGAAACCCACAGCCAAACAGATTAAGTCATGTGTCCGAGGCAAGCCAGGAAGAAACAGCTAGAACTGGAACTGCAGGTTCCCAGGCCCCAGCCCTTTCCACAAGTACTCTGCAACCCACATGGGCCTTGCCGGAGTCCTCCCCTCTCCACACCCCCTCCTCCAGGACAGGGCTCAGGTGACCCACAGGCAGGCAGGTGGGTGTCACTGGGACCAGATTCCCCAGCTGGGGCAAGGGGCACTCACCAGCCTGAAGCCAGATCTGTTCCAGCGTGGTCCACAGCTGCGTGGGGCCCTGCTTCAGGACCGAGGAGGGCATGGTCAGCTCTGACATAGCTTCTTCCAGCCGGGAGGCTGCAATGGACGATGCCCGCTGGGAGCCTGCAGAGCAAGAAGGGCGAGCTGAGCAGCAGTTGGAGTGTCACATGCCACTGGCCCAGGGGCAGTAACTGCCCAGCTCCACAAGGAGAGACAGGGCAGCCCGAGTCAGGGCAGGGCGGCATGGCCTGGCAGCCGCAGAGCAATTCACAGATCTACGAGGGAGAGCCCACCCTGTCTCACCAGTCCTTGAACCCACAGCTGGGGAGGGGAGCTCTCTGAGGGGCATCAGGCAGAGACCCCACCTGGAATCCACCCCTAGGAAAATAATCCCAAATGTCAGCAAAGGTGCTCATTCTACTTCTGCCTGTAATACTGAAAACAACAGAAATTTACCTGAGTGTCCAAAAAAAGGAACTGATTAAAAATAAATGAGGGTATATACTCATCCAAGACTCTGCAGTATTTAAAACAAGGACATATAAATACGAACACTGATGTGGAAAGATGTTCACATTATATAGATGGGTTAAAAAAAAGCAAGTTACAAAAGAACAGGATCACATCTTTATAAAAAAAGAAATACGGGCATGGAAAAAGATCTGAAGGTCTGGGTGGTGAAATGACAGGTGATTTTTTTCCTTCTCTTTCTTCTGTTATTTTTACTTCCTGTTTCCACAGGGCACATTATTTTTTCCTGTGTATAAAGGTCCCATCCGAGACTGCTGTGAGGGACCCCTGGGGAGCAGCTTGGGTCAGACTTGTGCTTTCTGGAAAACCTCTCCCCATGGCATTCTGTGTGACGTAAGCTTCTGCTCAGGATACATAAGCTGTTGACATTTATAATTCCCATGCAGGTGAAATGTGAGCACTTTCTCCCTCTCTCACAGAGGCTATGAAGGCTCCAATAAACTCGGGAGGCCTCTGGGCAAACCACAGATGATTTCGGTGTAGGAGACAAGTGTCATGGACTCCTAATGACTTTGTTCTTGACTGTCCCTCTTTAATTGCAAGGGAGTGACCCCACCCCCCAACCACACCTTCTACAGCGACAGCAGCTCTTTGCAACAGCCGCACCCCCCCTGGTGCTAGGTTTGGCTTCTGAAGTCAACTGTGTCGCTTGACAACTTGGCTCCTGTCCACAGAAGTGGGGAGAAAAAGAGCAATTCCACTAAATAACTCCAGCACACTTTCACTCCCATGACTCATTCTGGTGTTTCTGAGGAAGGTGTTTGTTCTGTTTTAATCAGGCCCTCCATTAAAGACGGTAAGTTTGCAGTTCCTGAACTCCTTTGCATTTTACGAACGATGGGTTTCAGGATGAGTTTTTCCAGGAAAAAGTCAGCTTTGAGCTTAGGAGTGTAAACCACTCAGCCATTCCTTTCTGTCTGACTTGGTTTACTAAGGACATTAGGTAGAGCACAGCCTAAAGCTTTAGCCTAAGGGGAAGTAGCTTCTGTGTTCCCTGGCCCCAGCTGCTGTCTTTCCAGCCGAGGCTCCTCTTCATTCCCACACAGGAGGCAGGGACCCTCCCTTGCCATTACAGCTGCCTGCCCTGGGCCAAGATCAGCCCTGCGAGATGCCTGAGGGGCCCTTGGGCAGCAGCTGGCAAGGAGCGTGGTGGGTCTGTCAGGCTGGGCAGATGCCACTCTCCCTGGTGATGCTCTCAAGCTGGGACAGTGAGCTGTGGGCCCATGCAGATGGCTGCCCACGGGGCATGTTCTTACCGGAGTCTGCATCATGGGCGTCGGGCAAAGTCAGGTGCATGCCACTCTGCTTCTTCATCGTGATGCCTTCGCCAAGGCTGCCATCCTTCTCTAGGCCTCTGGAAGGCAAAGGAGTGCCAGGGCCCAGTGAGGCAGAGGGCCGGCATCACCTGGGGCTGGTGGGGAGAACAGAGAGCCTCACTCCAGGTAGGCTCAGGGGCTGAGAGATCAGGCCTAAGAACGGAGCCAAAGCCAGGACACTGCTGGGAAGGCCTGAGACCACCAGACAAGCAGGACAGATCAGCACAGGTCCCGTATGACGTGAGCTGAGGACTGGAAACTCTCCCATGCTGTCTACCCTCTCCTCTGAAGTGAGTGAGGCCGGAAGCTCCCCCAGGCTAGGACAAGGTCTCTTCTACCTTTTGTCACCCATTTGCCAGGTGGTTTCCCATTCTTTTTCTGAAAAGTCCCTCACCCCAGAGTCTCCTTCTAGCAGCTTCTACCCACACCCACTTATCCAGCCCTGCCCTTGAATCTCCCAGTAAGGGTTGACCCTGCCCAAGGGATTTCATCCTATCTGATTACCCTGGGCCCTCCTCTGTAAATTCCACCATTAGAGATATTCCTCTGGGCACCCAGTGTCCCTGTGAAAATGCAAATACCCATCAGAGTGGGGTCCCCTGAGGGAGATGCACAGCTGACCAGAGGACCAGGAAGAGGCCGTGCACCCACCCTGCATGAGGCCCCCCTTTCCCTTTGTGCTGCATAGGCTGAGCCCAGACATCCCATTGGGTTTGAGCAAAGACTTTCTGCAGACTCAGCCCCGACAGGAGCACCCTGTTCTGGCCCAGGAAAATCCCAGGTCCCAGGCCAGGGACTACAGAAGGAGGCAGGATGCATGGAAAGCATGGTGACTGAGGGACAGAGGGGTGGCCCTTCAGGGCCCTGCCTCCTCCTCCTTCTCTTCCAGCCTCCATATGGAATAAGAAAATAAATGACAGGCTCCATGGGTGGGTCTCGAGAGACCCGGATTCAAGTCTCAGGACCATTACTTCCCAGGTGAGTGACTCTGGTAAATTACACACAAGGTCTCTGAGTTTCAGTTTCTTTTCAGGGCTGGGCATAAAATCTGATCATGTATCAACTACAGGCACGTAATGTATAAGATAAAACAACATGCCCAGCACCTGGCTCAGGTGCTCAATAATGATTTCTCTTCCTCCTTACCACTTGAACTTCAATTTCCTAAATAGGGTGTTTGTGTGCACTTCACAGAGAACTGTTAAGAGGTTCAAACTGGACCAAGATGTGAAGAGCCCTGTAAAGTAGCAAGCTTCACATCTCATTCAACACCCTCACCATTCCCACCTTGCCAGGCACGCTGGCCACTCAGCTGTGGCCTGTTGCCCCGGCAACCACCCTCTGGCAACCCAAGGGACCACGATAGCCACGCACCCCAGTTGGGAGAAGCTGTACAGGGTCTGCCACAGCCGCAGCATCTGCCTGCAGGTCACGAGGGCTTCTTCGGGGCCTTTCAGCACCTGCTCCAGCTTCACCTTGGTGAACATCAGGCTGTGGGGAGGGAGAGAAAGGTCAGCACATCCGGGGAGCGCCTTCACCTGAGGATTCTGCCCGCCTCCCCAGCCCATGGCAGGCAGAGTGTCATGAGTGCGGCGGCCTCTGCCATGCCCCTGGATCACCTGCTTTCCCCCTGTGTTTCGGTTTCTCCCCATATCTTTTTCCAAAGCATGAAGCACTCTTAGCATTGGTCAGTGCTGACCCTGCTCAAGCCATGTGTCTCCTGTGCCACCTGCCCATCTCTGAAGCTCTGTTACATGGGATTCCTGGTGGTGCTCGGTTTGTCCCTTCTATCCACTCCCTCAGCTAAGCAGCGCCCCTGTCCTATGAACATCCTGTGTCCTACTGAATGAGTGGCTGGGTTCACACTTCTGTGGCTCACAGGGTCCAGGGCAGGGCCTTGAAGAGGAGCAACTTTGACTCGGTGAGTGGCATCAAGCAAGGAGGAGGCCAGGAGGTCACCGAAGGGCAGAGCTCTGCTTCCCACCTTGCCAGCACCCAACAGGGGCCCAAGTGCCATCTCCTAAACGGAACTGCAAACCTCGTTTCCTGACCCTGGAAACACGAGGAAGATGGTGTTATACTTTATCAAAGGATTCTTCCTTGAATTTCCCAAAATAGCTAGCTTCCCTTACATAATTGATAGGATTAAAGCGACACGAAATCCTATTCCATCACCATCCAGATCTTACGTGCACTGAGAGAGAACTTCAGAACACCTTTCAACCTAAAAAGCTGAAGTCCTCTGAGGTAAGACTGATATGGGGATGTGGCTCTTAGAAGGGCTGGGAAGAAGGAAGGGACTGGTCCCACCTGGAGGCAGGACCCCAGGAGGGGAGGGCGGCTCCCACCCTCTCCCTGGACACTCAGGGACAGCCAGAGCACTTAACACAAGCTAACCAGAACACCTGCCCACCAAGAATTGGGTTGGAGCCCCGCTGGAGGCCCAGCTGTGCCTGACGTTGGCCCTTCGGTGTCCTGGAGGAGGGGGTCCAGGCAGTATGGAAGCCCAGCAATATTTTCACCCTGGTCCTGCCACAGCACTGATGCGCAGCAGTGGCCTGGGCAGCCTGAGGAGAGTCCAGCTGCGCCACCGAGACCCAGATAAGGTGGCCACTCCTGGTTCTCCGTGAGTGGTGAGTAGTGAGGCCTTTCACTCACGGCATCACTGAGCAAACCCACAGGACTGGCAGGCCCTGTGCTTGACCACTGCCTGGTGCTCCTCTGGCCCACGTGAGGGTGAACTTTTCCATCGGAGAGTCACCCACCAGACCAGTCAGGCCCCACCCAGGGAGGCCAGGCCTGCGCCTGGGAGCTGTCCTCTGACCTCCCTCAGCTGAAGTCCTGTCTCCCCTCTCCTCTGTCCTGAGACCTGGGCGTCCAGCCCCAAAAGAGACTTTGATGTCCTTACTCTGTGCCTTTACACCCTTTTCTCAAAAATTGTGACTTGCCAGTAGAGAATAAAGAGAGTAAATTTGCCCCAGTCCCTTCATCAGAAGACGCAGTCTGAGATCTGAACAAGTATTATTATCATTATTTATTTTTATTTATTTATTTATGTATTTATGTTTAGAGTTGGAGTCTATAGGATGAGCCACTGAGCCCGGTCTCATTATTTTTAAGATAAAAAGGCAGCTAGGTGCAGTGGCTCATGCCTATAATTCTAGCACTTTGGGAGGCAGAGGCAAGAGGACTGCCTGAGCCCACAGGTTTAAGAACAGCCTGGGCAGCTTGGCGAGACCTCGTCTCTACAATATATCAAAAAATTTGCCAGGCACATGCTTGTAGTTCCAGCTACTTGGAAGGCTGAGGTGGACGGATCGCCTGAGCCCAGCAGGTAGAGGCTGCAGCAGCCTTGAGTGTGCCACTGCACTCAAGTTTGAGCTACAGAGTAGACTCTGACTTAAAAAAAAAGATAAAAAGACTGCAAGTCATAGTTTTTTTGTTTATTGTTGAGTTGAAGTCTCACTCTGACACCCGGGCTGGAGTGCAGTGCCACGGTCATGGCTACTGCAGCCTCGACCTACTGGGCTCA